TCCGTATCATGGTATCAAGTACTGGTGGTCGGTTCTTCCGCCCCGTTGGATACATAATTGATAGCTTTTCTTGATATTGCTCTATAATTACATTTATATCTCTCCCGGCCATTGGTTCCGAGATTTGGTTGATCTTTGTTTTCTTGGGCGCCCTCTTTTTCCCCATTTAGAATACAAAGATTAGTGCATTTTAGCTTATGATTAATATTATATTTTTACCTATAGTTTACTTAGATTACGTCCGTATCATGGTATCAAGTACTGGTGGTCGGTTCTTCCGCCCCGTTGGATACATAATTGATAGCTTTTCTTGATATTGCTCTATAATTACATTTATATCTCTCCCGGCCATTGGTTCCGAGATTTGGTTGATCTTTGTTTTCTTGGGCGCCCTCTTTTTCCCCATTTAGAATACAAAGATTAGTACATTTTAGCTTATGATTAATATTATATTTTTACCTATAGTTTACTTAGATTACGTCCGTATCATGGTATCAAGTACTGGTGGTCGGTTCTTCCGCCCCGTTGGATACATAATTGATAGCTTTTCTTGATATTGCTCTATAATTACATTTATATCTCTCCCGGCCATTGGTTCCGAGATTTGGTTGATCTTTGTTTTCTTGGGCGCCCTCTTTTTCCCCATTTAGAATACAAAGATTAGTACATTTTAGCTTATGATTAATATTATATTTTTACCTATAGTTTACTTAGATTACGTCCGTATCATGGTATCAAGTACTGGTGGTCGGTTCTTCCGCCCCGTTGGATACATAATTGATAGCTTTTCTTGATATTGCTCTATAATTACATTTATATCTCTCCCGGCCATTGGTTCCGAGATTTGGTTGATCTTTGTTTTCTTGGGCGCCCTCTTTTTCCCCATTTAGAATACAAAGATTAGTGCATTTTAGCTTATGATTAATATTATATTTTTACCTATAGTTTACTTAGATTACGTCCGTATCATGGTATCAAGTACTGGTGGTCGGTTCTTCCGCCCCGTTGGATACATAATTGATAGCTTTTCTTGATATTGCTCTATAATTACATTTATATCTCTCCCGGCCATTGGTTCCGAGATTTGGTTGATCTTTGTTTTCTTGGGCGCCCTCTTTTTCCCCATTTAGAATACAAAGATTAGTACATTTTAGCTTATGATTAATATTATATTTTTACCTATAGTTTACTTAGATTACGTCCGTATCATGGTATCAAGTACTGGTGGTTGGTTCTTCCGCCCCGTTGGATACATAATTGATAGCTTTTCTTGATATTGCTCTATAATTACATTTATATCTCTCCCGGCCATTGGTTCCGAGATTTGGTTGATCTTTGTTTTCTTGGGCGCCCTCTTTTTCCCCATTTAGAATACAAAGATTAGTACATTTTAGCTTATGATTAATATTATATTTTTACCTATAGTTTACTTAGATTACGTCCGTATCATGGTATCAAGTACTGGTGGTCGGTTCTTCCGCCCCGTTGGATACATAATTGATAGCTTTTCTTGATATTGCTCTATAATTACATGTATATCTCTCCCGGCCATTGGTTCCGAGATTTGGTTGATCTTTGTTTTCTTGGGCGCCCTCTTTTTCCCCATTTAGAATACAAAGATTAGTACATTTTAGCTTATGATTAATATTATATTTTTACCTATAGTTTACTTAGATTAGATTGTCAATTGTTCCATTCGCACTGATGATTGCACCCAAGTAAGTGAAATTGCTGACCTGCTGTATTGGGAGACCTTCCACATTGATGTCCATAGTGTCGTCTTTAGAATACGGCCTCTGCGATGCACTTTTGCTGACAACCATGCTCTGTGTTTTGCCAGCATTAATCTTCAGACCTGCATAGGCACTGTATTTGCAGAGAAGGTCAGTGGTTTCCTGCAGCCCCTCTTTTGAGTTATCTAACATGGCCATGTCATCAGCGTAATCAGTGTCCAAAAGATGTTTTTCTTCTACCCCGGGGGCTGGCAGCTGTAATAAAGCCCCTTTGCTAATGACCTTGTTCAGTTCCATAAGGTATGCCGAAAAATTCAAACAAAAGTTGAAGACTGGTGGTCCCTGTATATCACCTTGCCCAGTACCCGAGTTGACATCAAACCAACCTGTGACCTCACCATTGACCCTAACAGCACTAACTGTGTGAGTGAAGAACGCCTTCATAATTCTAATGTACTTGTCAGGTAAGCCGTAGTGCTGCATACTTCTCCAAATGAACTGCCTGTCAATTGAATCAAAAGCTGCTTTGAAATCAACAAAATTAATATACAGAGGGATATTATACTCAATGCATTGGTGAATAATACAGCGGAGTGAATAAACCTGGTCAATACATGAGCGATTCTGTCTAAAACCACTTTGATTCTCCCGAAGGAATTTTTCCATTCCATTGCTAAGTCTCCGCAGGAGTATCATCTGCAGGAGCTTCGAGGCTGTGGATCTTAATGTAATGCCTCTGTTGTTAGCGCAATGAGAGGTGTCACCTTTCTTTCCAACGATGATAATAACACCTTTGGACCAATCCTCAGGAATCTTCTCATCTTCCCACACTTTCTTGAACAACACAACTAGTTGATCGACCAACCCATCCTGTCCATACTTAAGTTGCTCGTTGGTGATACCATCCACTCCTGGACTTTTGTGATTCTTGAGTTTTTTGAGGGCATCAACAATCTCGTTTCTTGTAGGAGCTTCATCCGAATCGGAAAGGTCGTCAAAACTGGGTTGCGGAGGGATGTTGTCTAGGTCAGAAATATTGGCCTCTTGCGGGGGAGGGTTCAATAGCCTAGAGAAGTGCTCTTTCCACCTTTCTTTCTGGGCATGTGGGTCGGCAATCAACTGGCCAGATACGTCTCTAACTGCAGTTGACTGCTTCTTCTTCTTTCCAGATATGACATTGATCTTCTGCCATACCTCACGTTGCTGACCTTTTCTAGCAGCTTCCTCCAAGTCATTGGCCATTCTACGTGCCCAGTTGTTATCGTCCACCTTGCTACTTTTTTAAAGAGCTTATTCAATCTAGAATACTCTGACCTGTTAGCGTTCGAATTAGGGTCTTTACGCTTAAATTCCTTACGGTTCTTCAATAATTCTTTTGTCTTCTGAGATTGGTGCCTGTCCTTCTTTTTTCGAGGTCTTTGCCCAAGGATTTCCATGGAAACTTGTTGGACAGTTGTCTTGAAGTTGTCCCACATTGATTCCAGGTCAACCTCAGGTTCCAAACAGTCAAATTTGTTTCTCAGAACAATATTGTATTCGGAAACAAGTGAATGATCACGCAGATGCTCAATAGCAGGAATCTCAAGCTTACGTTCCTGCTTCTTTTTCACTGACATAAGCTTCATTCTCAGTCGTGCTCTTACCAAATAGTGATCAGACCCAATGTCAGCCCCCCTACAAACTTTTACATTTAGCAAAGAGCCTCCAAACTTCTTACTGATACAGATGTGGTCTATTTGGTTTACAGTACGACCATCAGGTGATCTCCACGTACCTTTATGTATATCCTTTTGCTGAAACATAGTGCCACCGATGGTAAGTTGGTGGGCAATGCAAAAGTCCAACAATCGGGTACCATTGTCATTTGATGAGCTGTGAAGCGAGTGCCCACCAATGACACCTGACATAGAACTGCAGTCCGATGTGACCTTAGCATTAAGATCACCGAGCAGTAATTTTAGATCATGTCGGGGTAGCTCATCGAATGCACTTGACAACTGCTGGTAGAATTCATCCTTATCATTATCTGAAGCTCCCTCAGTTGGCGCATATGCCACAACAACAGAGATGTTCAGGTGTTGACTATGCAGCCTTGCACTCAACAACCGGTCAGATATTGGTAGATAGGAAATTAATGAATTTTTAATCTTCTTTGAAAGGGTAAGACCGACACCTCGCCTTCTTATACCGTCCGTCCTCCCTGAATAAATCAGTAAGGAGCCATTATCCAGTAGCTCTGATCCTGTACCAGGCATATGGGTCTCAGTTATACCCAGCAAGTCCAACTTATACTCAGAGATATTCTCTGATAGCTGGAACAACTGACTTGAACTACTTGTCAGAGATAATACATTCCATGTCCCAAATGTAAGACCTGTTTTAGAATAATTCGCTGGCTGTTTCTTATTAGAGTCGGAGTCCACATGGGTGATCTGTGGAGAAATAAATCTGCTACAATGACGTGTTCTCCCAACACTCATCTGGCCACGGGGGTCCCTTAGGCTTTGCCCCGCCACCTTCATACTGGTATCATCCGTCCTTGCAGAGGGAGCCACACACCGTTTCTTGTTGTTACTTTGTGATGTTTCTGCAGCAAATTTTTAGAGAGGAAAAGTTGCCAGCATCTCGCACCCGGTTTTTTATCGACCTTTGCCTGTCTAGATCCATAGTGTTTTGTTGCACGTCATATGTTTAAACTGGAGTCACCCAGGACAGATTACAATGCTTAATAGTAGCACCTCGAAAAGGATGTGATTCTTCATCACGCACTATGGTCATTGGAATAGGAGAGGTTATAGGTGACACGATCACTATTCCCTGAGATTAAAAATAATTAATTATTATTTTATTAAAAATAATCTTAGATTAAAAATAATCTCCTCCTTCGCAAAGTTATTTTCTGCAAATTTCTGGATTTGTTAAATGTTGATGCGCGGCGCTGCATTGGTGAAATAAATCGTCAATTTTTACCATATTTTTGCACAAATCCTACTCATTTATAAAAAAACATTGCATAGTATGTAAATATGTTGCACTTTTTTCCAATCACACTTTTCACTCAAAAGAATTGATGGTACAAGTACATCGTAGGGAAAATTGATCGTGCGTGGTTTAACCGCGGCGAATTTTTTTATTAATTATGAAGTGCTCAGTCTTGTTTTACAGTTTTACTTTTTAATCTGTTACCTATTCACCATTTGAAAAGTAAAACTTAACGTTGTAAACCTTTATTGTACTTTACCGGTCTGGTCCGGTAGAGTCTAAATTAAATAATTTGATGTTTCCTTTACATTATATATTTATGCATGTGCCCCACGGGGATGAATTTCTTATTACCATGCCATTGATATTTTTTGAGTAAACATTGGCTGGTACCACGGGCCAGTCCCCAACAAACAAACAAAAAATTTATACTAGCAGAAACGTCGGCTGACGGACAACTAAGAACCTGTCAATTTTACCTAGTTAACAATACCTAATTAACATACTAGCTTGGGAAATGCAATCAGCTCCGACAACTAAGAACCAATCATTACATTTACATATCCCCGACAACTAAGAACCTCTGGAGATACTTTAGGTTTAAAATTCCATGTGCTGTGCAGATCCGGACAGAAATGTTTCATTGCTCGAGAGGATTAAGTTGATAGGAGTAAACAAATTTGAATCGCCAAGCCGAAGTAATTTAACTAAGAAAACTGTGAGATGAGTTTTCTTTCTAGGCGGGGTTTCAGCCGTATTTGAGTCGGTACGTAACAGCCGCATAACAATAGTCCTCGCTCGTTCATTTGCCGTGAATGTCACAATCCTTTAGATTCAATCTCAACTACATTGTTTAATTATCTAAAAGTTTCATTATCGTCGGTCTTGCACCGAGTGCTGAATTTGAGGAGCTAACCAATTGTTTAATATTCCAGCTCTTAAACGTTTGAAGTTTAGACTGTCCCTCATTACATCGGAACCAATATAATGGATATATTTCTTTGGTGCACAATAGTGGTGGTATATCAACAAACTCCGATGCGATGAGGTAAAGTCGAGACTGAGAACACAAAGACGTGAAACTTATTAAGAGACTACCGGTGCCAAACTTTGAAATTGTTGTTTTCTTGAAAACCAACAAAACTTTGAACGAGAGCTAAGTTTGAGCTAGAATATAAAACAATTGCAATGCCACGCGTGAAATGTTTATCTGATGAGGGCGGTAGTAAACTGACCACAGCTATAACAAACCATGTATGATTATAATTAAACGATATCATTAACAATAGTTATACTTATAGGGGAACCGACATCTTATTCTAACTAGCTAACCCAATTATAACCGTCCAAAAGCTGTCGAATAATCAATAGGTAGATTCAATCACGGTGAATATGGTATCGCATTGTATCACGTCGTGACTACAGTAGAGTTTCTACGATACAGGGGGAGCCGCGCACTCGTGTGCGGCGGGTCATACAACGTATGACAAGTATCGCAGTGGCTGATACGAGAACCAGCTCCTTTCGGACCTGGCTCACGTCCGTTATGTGAACACATGCCGAGAGCTGAACTCTTCTTAAAGGATGAGGGGACCTTAGAAAAAGTTTTTTTCTCGTGCAAATCCTTTTATTACATTAATCGTTTAAACCACTTTAGTGAAATCCGCAAAGTTGTATGGATGATGATTAATCACTCTACACTCGACTGTCACGTGACTTTTTAAACACGTTCTCTTGGTGGCCCTGAATGACTATTCGCAATCATAGCCCTCTAATCTGATGCCACCTTAACCCTAACCCAATCCCTAACAAAAGCATATGCTGAAACCCTAACCCTAACGAGAAATTCGACCAACTTCCTTATACGGTCATATCACGTGATCAAGACAGTTTTTCGCAAATATCTCGGCAGGGGAGCATTTTAACCCTATGTCATGGGGGGTGATTCGGAATCAGCGGCCGAAAATACATCGATTCAAGCTGGTTTCAACTGTCGGGGGCCCTTTTAGAATAATCTTGAAGATCGACTGTAGAGTGATTTAGCACGCTCGAAGTTGTATTTCATTCGCGCGCCGAGATATCCAGCCAAAACAATTTGAACCTGTGACGTCAATTATGTGAGTTGCTCTGATCCGCGCATATAGAAATACAGGTAAAATGAGCGTGCGGGCCGACTAAATTACTAATTAAGAATAAATTAACAATTTACGATACTAACGAGCCTATAACCAATGGAGAGGAGACTTTTTATGACCGGTTGAAAAAAGAATTATTACCCTACGATAACCATGAGCCGAGATACACCTGGAATAAGATTGAAGTCATACAGAAAGGCATGTAAATTATGTATATTTATAGCTCCCAACGTAACACCTAGCAAGTGCAACTCCCTGTTTCGTACCACAGTTGATATATCAACATGTCATATCAACACAACACGGTCCTAATAAAAATGGATCGGGTAGGTATGAAATGCATGTCTTCATTCCAGTTGGACAAGCACTAAGCACCAAGCTTTTAAGTTCTAACTCACTATGTGACACTACTTATAAGTATAACGTAAGCAAGATTTGCAACTATTACACCAAGCAATATTATATTTATACCAAGCATAGCAGACGAACACATCCACATTCGTTACGCTTTACACTCAAGTCACAGCAAACTAAAACGGTAAATTATAAATGAGTGTACAACTAAAGGCCGGTACACGCGCAGTGTCAAACCGCACGTGCGTACTCAGATAGGACTAGAGGCGCCAAGGGCCAGCTAGTAAAATGTCTTCTACAACATCATACATTCTTTTTAATTGTGTCCATATCGGGTTTCAAACAAGTCAAAACAAAATAGCAGTTTGTGGTTTAGTTAGCGAGCAAATAAAAGGGTGCACGCGCACGTTGGTCTTAACACATAAGTGACGTCACAGCCCAAAATTGCTATCAGCCAATAGGAGCGCGGCGTGATATTGCACGAATTATCGATTTCACAGTCCGGCGTATTTTTTGATTCTACACACTTTCACAGGACTTAAACACGAATATTTGGAAGTAAATTCTAAGGTCCCCTCATCCTTTAATACATTATTATACTTCATAATTATACGCAGCTGCTTACTAAACTGCTTACTAAACTGTCATGTGAACCCTACCGCCAGGTTTTTGGTTGTCCGGCTGTTAGGCTGGCTAGAATATGGATCACATCACAAATATATCACGTCACTGATTGGGCCATGTGATGTGATACCTGCGGGAGCCTGAATGAGAGGTTCTTAGTTGTCGGTCACCGGAAACGTCATGACAGTTACCAATACTTTTTTATAATACTTTCTTATAATATCGTTCAGGTAATTTTGATACTTAAATTAAACTTGAATTTGTGTTTTTTACCTTTTAAATGTTATTTTGGGACACTTTTCACATTGTAGTTGTACTAATTATACTGACAAAAACCATGAACTAAACACCAATATTCTCTTCAGGGACATAATTGCACTGGGCATAGCTACGCTCGGCGTGTTTTTTGTGGCTCAGCCGTCGGTCATCTTTGGATCGGACAGTGTTACAAATCAGACCCCTATACTTTACGTTGCTATTGCAGTCGCACTAGGTTGGTCGCTTTTATTCAATATCAAGATGAATTTTTGCATTCTATTGCGAACCAAAATATCTGAAAACTAACTATAGATGACTATATTATAGCCCATAAATTTGTCGAAACTAAATGTGTGAAAGCTAGCACATGATACCCGACACTCCGCCAGCCAGAGGTTTCTTCAAAGCGGCCAAGTACGTGGCAGTATCCTGTACCGGAGTGGAAGTACCGACCAGTGTCATCGTGATGTGTCTCTCGTGTTTGGGGTTCCTGGTCTCCACTCTCTTTCTTATTGTATCCGTATGTGTAGAGCAGATATCGGATGGAGACATGAAGAAAACTTGGGTTCATCCTAACATTCTGGTAAGTTTTGTTTATTTAAATACTGATAATGTGATATACAGTTCACACTTCACAGTTCCAAGTGTAGCCAGGACTTCTTTGAACGACATTTAACTTTGTCGCTCTATTATAATAGTCCAGTGTTCAATGTTTCCCATGTTCCCATTGACTCCTAGGATATCTGACTGGTTATTGAGTGGTAATATTTGATCAGTAGTTATTTCCGCAGAATTTCACTTGTCTATGGATGGTTGGACTGATGTACTGCTTGCAGCAACTATGCGTGTGTAAAGCCATGCAATACGGCCAACCAGGTAAAACATCTCTTCTCAAGTACCTTGATGTGGTCCTGCCTTTCTTCTTCCAGTTCGTCATCTTCAGGTGCGTGCATACAGTGGGAATTGGGATATTCGGGAAACTGAACAGATTTCGATAGTTTCCATTTTAGAAATAGCCATGATACTAAGAATTGAAGCATTGTTACGGAACCGGCATAATCACTTCAACATTTATCAGAAAACTCCTTGTTTGTTGTTAGAGTTTCATTGGTGCACTTTAAACCATTGCATCTAAAATTACCCATTTGACTAATACTGAATGAAATCTTGTAGGGAGTTTCCGAACACGTGGACTCTAGTGGGATGTGCTTGTATTGCCATCTCAACGATCACTGCCACCATCGTCAAACGGGTCAAACCTATTAAACATATTAAGTTCCAAGATGAAGCCGAGATTTTTGGAGATACGGAGAAAGTTGTAGAGACACGAGAAGAGGCTGTGATAGAACGGGGTCACCTTACAGACAGTGCTGAGGACTCTTCACAGATCTTACCCAGAGGAAAATTAACACTTAAATAGGTATATAAATGAACTGTTTCCAACATAGCTCCATATTTCGTATATCCCTGTGCTCATAATATTTTTATAATAACAATAGTATCGTACATTTACTATATATTTTCCTGCTACAGTATACACTGCACTGTCCGACCCAATAGCCTTTGATCTTCGTAGTTTATTGTTTTGCCTATTTTATTATATACGTATGTTTAAAGGTCAAAACTTGCGACAATTAAGAAAGAAGAATTTGTTAATTAAACAGTTAAAGTTAATTAAAGTTGTTGGTATATCAAAATACAGTTTGATATTCGATAACGTGTCAATCTGAGTCACAATGTTTAAAAAGCTGTTCTAACATCAAACTTTAAGACTGGAAAAACATAAAACAAGTTCAAGCGGGCTCGTATAAACTTCCCAGGCAAAATAAAGTTCATTTAAATATATTATAAAGAGTTTATGAATTTTTAATCTCTGTCTGAGGTAACTGTATCGTCAGCTTCCATGAGCTTCTGTGGCGCGGGTGATTTAGACTTGCTTCTTTCAAACGCATCTGACTCTTTCAAATCCCCGGATCGTACTTTTTCTTTAGGAGAAGCAGATCGGGATCGAGATCGCTTTACGGGAGATTTAGAGCGTCGTTCCGCCGTCTTCGATCTCCTTTCCGGACTTCTCGATCGTCTGTCTTTGGATCTTGACCGTCTATCGTTGGACCTAGACCTCCTGACCTCGGGTGTCCTAGAACGTCTCTCCCGCGATCTAGAACGATCCTCAGGGGACCGGGCCCTTTTTTCCGGCGTAGGTGATCGTTTGTCGTCCCTGGGTCTAGACCCTCTAGATCGGTCAGCTGACCTCGATCGTGATCGTGATCTTCGTGCTGATCGCCTGAGATTGTATGACATCTTTATTTTCACGATGTATGCTTCTATAATCTTCAGCGATTTAAGATGATATTTAACAAGTACATTGTATACATTATACATAAGAGTGGGTTTACTAAACCAAGCCACGCACTATACGTGGATATGGCAGCCGGAACTGTTCAATTCATCCACGCGCGCGCGATATAAAACATACGTGCGCGCTCTATACACGTCAGAAGCAGTCAAGCTTGCTAGTACTTAAAGATACAGAAGACGTTTCCCTGAAATGTGTAGTGGATTTTGTAGTGGATTTTGCGCGCCGCACGTACGTTACAATATTTATTATTGTAGAATCTACGACGGTAGCCGTCAGAGTTCTCAATAAACTGCTCGTATTTTTAGACAATAAGATATGAATAACGTATTAACACATCCAACCCCATTCAGCTGAATGGATCAGGCCGTCCATCCCAAAATAGCTGAAGTCCCCTAAAATACAGACTAAGAATCTTGACTCCTGTAGGGGATTTGTGTTTCTGGGTTTATGGAACATTTTCGGTGGTTAAATAGGAAGTACCTGTCACAAGTCATCAGAAAAACCAAGTTTCAACCTCCCAACCCACTCAGGCCACTCCCAGGGGCACACCCATCCCAAAATTACTGAAAATTAGGTAAAATCAAGACCGAAAATCTTTACCCCCGTAGTGCATTTATGTTCCGGGGTAGGTGGAACATGTTTTGGTGGTTAAATAGTTAGTACTTGTCCCAAACCATCAGAAAAACCGAGTTTCGACCTCCCAACCCACTCAGGCCACTCCCAGGGGCCAAACCCATCCCAAAATTACTGAAAATTAGGTAAAATCAAGACCGAAAATCTTTACCCCCGTAGTGCATTTATGTTCCGGGGTAGGTGGAACATGTTTTAGTGGTTAAATAGTTAGTACTTGTCCCAAACCATCAGAAAAACCGAGTTTTGACCTCCCAACCCACTCAGGCAACTCCCAGGGGCCACACCCATCCCAAAATTACTGAAAATTAGGTAAAATCAAGACCGAAAATCTTTACCCCCGTAGTGCATTTATGTTCCGGGGTAGGTGGAACATTTTTTGGTGGTTAAATAGTTAGTATTTGTCCAAAACCATCAGAAAAACCGAGTTTCGACCTCCCAACCCACTCAGGCCATTCCCAGGGGCCACGCCCATCCCAAAATTACTGAAATCACTGAAATTACTGAAATTACTGAAAATTAGGTAAAATCAAGACCGAAAATCTTTACCCCCGTAGTGCATTTATGTTCCGGGGTAGGTGGAACATGTTTCGGTGGTTAAATAGTTAGTACTTGTCCCAAACCATCAGAAAGACCGAGTTTCGACCTCCCAACCCACTCAGGCCACTCCCAGGGGCCACACCCATCCCAAAATTACTGAAAATTAGGTAAAATCAAGACCGAAAAACTTTACCCCCGTAGTGCATTTATGTTCCGGGGTAGGTGGAACATGTTTTGGTGGTTAAATAGTTAGTACTTGTCCAAAACCATCAGAAAAACCGAGTTTCGACCTCCCAACCCACTCAGGCCACTCCCAGGGGCCACGCCCATCCCAAAATTACTGAAATCACTGAAATTACTGAAATTACTGAAAATTAGGTAAAATCAAGACCGAAAATCTTTACCCCCGTAGTGCATTTATGTTCCGGGGTAGGTGGAACATGTTTTGGTGGTTAAATAGTTAGTACTTGTCAACCAAATTAGTCACGAAAGGGAGCACTTCAGGGTATGATTTTATTCGAATTAGTATTACTTACTGCAGAAGTCTGCAAAGGGATTAAAAATGACGAAGTTATCAAGCAACCTGCTTATTTTGGTATCGAATTGGGTGAATAATCATGTGATAGCGTGCTAAGATACCGTAATTGGGCTTTCTGCACGATTCCCATAGGGCGGATCTAGTCTCAACCCAATAAACTGATCGCACGTACGCGTAAGGGTCGTTCACATATAATCATATAATCGATATTTTGGCAATCATCCTCGATACGTACCTCTGAAGGCAGGGCTCCCGCTCCCGAGCTCGCACTGCAAAAGGGAGGCCTGTCTTCCGAGATCACATTACATGGGGGATCCCTCGAGTCCGAAATCGCATATCGAAGGGTAGGTCCGGACTTCGAAAATCGAAGAAATATTTTCGGCTAATAATGATCAAGGTAGCATGAATCGTGAATAAAAGTAGTTTCCAGAAAAACTTTGAAAATATTTAGACTAAGAAAATTTTCGGTCCGAGTCATCCTCGATACGTACCTTTGAAGGCACGGCTCCCGCTTCCGAGCTCGCACTGCAAAAGGGAGGGCTGCACTCCTTGAGTAATTCTCCATTTTATGCCATTGCCCCCCCACACCATACTACACTGATCGTTTATATTGTATATGATATAGATATGAGCCAAAAATATTTTGTCTGGGCCCAGGGGTGTAGGAAGCGGGGGGGGGGGGGGCCATCGCTTCCCCCATGAAATCCGGGCAAGGGGCCAAAAAGGGCCAACTTTTTAATTTAGGTTTCTGAAAATTTTTCCCCGAAAATTTTCAAAGTCAAAAATTTTCAAAGTTTTCTTGGAAACTACTTTTGTTCATGTTTCATGCTGAGCCAAAAATATTCTTTTCGGTTTTCGAAGTTCGATATACGATTTTGGACTCGAGGGTTCCCCTTTGTAATACGATCTCGGAAGGCAGGGCTCCCCTTCGCAATACGAGCTCGGAAGCGGGAGCTCTGCTTTCAGAGGTACGTATCGAGAATGACTCGGACCGAAAATTTTCAAAGTCACAAATTTTCAAAGTTTTCTTGGAAACTACTTTTGTTCATGTTTCATGCTACTCTGATCATTCTGAGCCAAAAATATTTTTTTCGGTTTTCGAAGTTCGATATACGATTTTGGACTAATTATTTAACCACCAAAACATGTTCCACCTACCCCGGAACACAAATGCACTACGGGGGTAAAGATTTTCGGTCTTGATATTACCTAATTTTCAGTAATTTTGGGATGGGCGTGGCCCCTGGGAGTGGCCTGAGTGGGTTGGGAGGTCGAAACTCGGTTTTTCTGATGGTTTGGGACAAGTACTAACTATTTAGCCACTAAAACATGTTCCACCTACCCCGGAACATAAATGCACTACGGGGGTAAAGATTTTCGGTCTTGATTTTAACTGAATTTCAGTAATTTTGGGATGGGCGTGGCCCCTGGGAGTGGCCTGAGTGGGTTGGGAGGTCGAAACTCGGTTTTTCTGATGGTTTGGGACAAATACTAACTATTTAACCACCAAAACATGTTCCACCTACCCCGGAACATAAATGCACTACGGGGGTAAAGATTTTCGGTCTTGATTTTACCTAATTTTCAGTAATTTTGGGATGGGCGTGGCCCCTGGGAGTGGCCTGAGTGGGTTGGGAGGTCGAAACTCGGTTTTTCTGATGGTTTGGGACAAGTACTAACTATTTAACCACCAAAACATGTTCCACCTACCCCGGAACATAAATGCACTACGGGGGTAAAGATTTTCGGTCTTGATTTTACCTAATTTTCAGTAATTTTGGGATGGGCGTGGCCCCTGGGAGTGGCCTGAGTGGGTTGGGAGGTCGAAACTCGGTTTTTATGATCGTTTGGGTCACGTACTACCTATTTAACTACCAAAACATGTTCCACCTACCCCGGAACACAAATCCACTACACCTGTGAAATCCACTACAAATCCACTACACAAATCAAGGAAACGTGCTCTCTAAAGATATTTTTACAAATTGTCCCACCTTGGCGAGCGAGACCGAGATCTGGAACGGCTGGATTGCTTTTCCTCAACAAGCCGCACTCTTCTACCATTCAGCTTGGTATCATCTAGCTCTCTGATCACCCTCTTCAAATCGTCTTTACATTTAAAGTCAGCAACGCTGAGCGAGAGTATATAGTTGTGAATAATAACTTGATTATCGAGCACGATCAATTTAATAACATACACCGGCGTATTATGCTCCAAATCTATTGGAACGATGCCAAAAAATACAGCTGAAGATTATTTACCCTTCTCCGGTTCTAAATCTGTGAGCATCAGCGAATGTTACTTCAGCGACTCTTCTGAAGAAATCTTTCAAATCCTGGAATTGAACTATGTTAAGTACTAAACAAACATTGAATATTATCAAAAATATTAAGAGAAATAATAAATAATATTCAGATATATTGTAAGGAGCCAGATATTTACCGAGCAAAACATTGTCATAATAAAAGATTATCTGCTTTTAAAAAGATAGATAATACAAATTATGCGTGCTCCAGAGCTAAATTGTCATGCTTGATATAAAATAAACGGAAATTTGAATATTTCTTAATTCATAAAATTTAAGGAATGGCAAGATTTTACCACAAAAACAATCATTCTTCCAAATAATATAAGGTCAGTCAGTCACTGGTCAGTTTTAATAGTTTTAGTAAGTGTATATGTTTGCTATTTTACCTTTGATATGGTCTCAATGAATACTAAAAGGGGGGACCACCAAAGTCAAGTTACCAAGGCAACCAAAAGAGCGACCAAGGCAACCAAAGACGCCAAAGGCCACCAAACACCATTCCAAGACGGTTTAATAGACCATAGGTAGGTAATATCGTAGCCACTGATTATTCTATAAAACAAACAAATTAAGTAACAAATAGACATGAACTTACTAACTAAGCAGTTTTGATTTTTTTTTGTAAAACAAATGTTATTTATCTTAGAGTTAATGTTCTGCTAAAACTAAGAATTAATATTTTGCCTATTTGGTCGTAATTTGCATTGATTGCATTTGGATTCTCGATCGCAGCCTCAACATGTTTTATCCATAATACTGTCTATTTAGGATTTACCATATATATTATACAATACACAGGTGGTAAGTTGTCTGAATTGAACATTATATACATTTTATGCCTTCTTTAACATCTATTGAGAGCAATCGATTAATAAAGTTTAGGCCAAAAAAATATATATATTGTTAATAACTAGTTGATTTGGTTCAAGTGCAACAGCTCAGAGCGAATTAACTTCAATAGCATTATTGATCTTTCTGTTATTGAGCTTAATTTTTTTTCAAAAATGTTGTAGATTGCCAGTATCGAAGTAGCCCGACAGGTTTTTCCGAACATAGTTAGAGTTAGGGTTTACCTGTTGCCCTAAAATACACACTCGTACTATGTAATCATATGATAGTTGTCCTGATGTGCCTTAGGATGCTGAGTTAATGCTCTATTAAAGCTGGCTGTTTAACCTCTGCTTAGTAGGACTGCTTCTTTTATGTAGGAATACTATAAAACTATAATAGGACTATAATAGGACTATAATAGGACTATAATAGGACTATAATAGGACTATAATAGGGCTATAATAGCACTATAATAGGACTATATGACTATTATATGACTATCATACAAAGAATTCTTCTTCACTTAAATGTAGATAGTATACCCAGGATTATATTACAGTGTACCGTTATAAACCTTGGCATAAAATAAAGATCTACATTCTACATACAGAAGATTTGAGGAGCACATCTTGTTTTCAATTTTAATGTAAACTGTTAATCCTATCATTGAGAAATCTAGATAATTATATGTGGAAGGATTGATATACGAGTTATGAAAAAAATATCATGCTTCCTTTTAGCTATTGCCAAAAAATACAACCAAAATAGGCAATTTTGTATTTTATGGAGTAAATATGCCGTAGATAACGATTTGCAGGGTATTATTCACAATTTTAGATAAGTGTGAAGGCAACTATACTATAACTACTACTATACTGGAGGGCTATCGCAGTAAGGAATTTGGTATCGATAAAATGGAATGTACCAGTGAGAATGGAGGACGCGGACGTAGGGGCTACAACTTGCGAGAATTCATTATTATTCAGGTTTGGTCGGTTTGGTAACCAAGATAAATAATATTATCTCTAGAAACTGTAATTAGATTTAGATGCAACGTATTAAAAAAGCGTGTTCGTACAAATGATGGTTCGGTTTAGTAACTTGAACCCAATAATAAACGTACCCTCCAGTCAGTGGACGAGGACAATCCCTCAACAACAACCCGGTGTTTAGTGTTAAAGGGTCGCTCAAACAAGCTGAAGCTGTTCTTAAAGCGACTGCTGCCACTGCCACCTCGGTCTCCACCTCTGTCTCCACCTCGGTCTCCACCGCGGTCTCCACCCCTGTCTCCACCCCTGTCTCCACCTCGGTCTCCACCGCGGTCTCCACCTCGGTCTCCACCACGACCACCACCAAAACCACTACCACCACCTCGGCGGTCATCTCTGGTAGGGAAGAAAGGTTAAGATGTTTATTTGAAATATTTTAACTATTTAGGTATGTAAGCAGTAAGGTTTACTGATAATCGGCACGAATCTGTTGGTGCCCGGAAGGCAGTGTAATTCTACAAATTCTTGATCCACTTGGTCAAAATTAAAAATTAAATCCCTTCCCCACCCCTTAAATCCCTTCCCACCAGGCTCCAGCAAGTAAAACTCCTTACCTTCTATCACGTCCACCTTTACAGTGCTCTACTGACACTCTATCTCCAAGTAAATCCTTACCATCCATCTCGTACACTGCATCGTCAGCGTCTCGGTGTTCTTCAAAATCCTGAACATGTGCAACATTAACATTCGATCCCATGTAATCATGTCAGCCTGATTTTGGCCATTTAACACATTTAACACATTTAACACATTTAACACCTCCCCACTCACACTCCAAATTCCTCCATTTAACTTCGAAATAAGAAATGAAAAAAAGACTCACCACGAAAGCATATCCGTTCTTCATGTTGATATCGTTGATTTTACCGAAATCTTTGAAGAACCGTTCAATATCTTTTTCCCGGACATCGTAGTGGAGCTTGCCGATGTAAATCCTATTCCTCAGATCAGACATAATCTAAATAAGAAACTAAGTTAATGACGAACTCATTGAATAGAATTAGGATTCACACAACAATATCAGCAGAGATAATAAAATAAGAAATAATAAGAAATAAGGGTCAGGATAAATATTGAATAAGTATACTACTAGAAAATAAGATCTGCTCATCCATTGTAATACGTAGTTGGGTAAGTCTGGTTAGTGGTTAAGGATTGACAAGGACTATGAACTAGAAATAGCTAGATATTTTCTTTTCAGGGATGGCCATGGTCCCCTTATTCCATTGTAATTACCCTCCTCCAATGCATAACTCAATGCACCCAATAAAGTAAATTGACAATACAATGTGCTATGTGCATACATACTTCATAGTGCATAAACAACACTGCACTGTGTGTACCTACGACTTTGGTCCAAGTTGTACTCAGTGGTTCTCTTGGTGTATGATTAGAATTTACATCCTACACACGACCAGGAACAAACCTGTTCGTATGGACACATATTCACATACAATAATACGCAAATATGTGTAAGGAAATAAAAATGAGCCATGAGAGAATAGATAATATGAAATTGAGTAGTTGATGCGGGATAAAACTTCTCTTGTCACCTCGTCACGCATGATGCGACTCACCACTGCACTGTACCACTGCAGTACAATCTAGTAGAGAAAGAGAGATATCATTATTATACAACATTTTCGGAATCGGTTGCATGTTTATTTTTAGTTTGGAAAAAATTTTAAGCTTGTGCTATTTAGCATCTTTGTTTTTTTTTTGGTGCAGTATAATTAATGACCTCAGAAAGATCATGAATGTCAGCTGGCCACGCAGTATGATGTCCAAAGATACCCTATACAAACAGAGTAACTCTACCCCTATGTCTGAGCGTGCTGAGTTATCTAGGTGGAAGATGCTAGGACACATACTGAGGAGCGATGAAAGATCACCAGCTCAAGCTGCACTGTGCTTTGCTGTCGAGATGTGTAGTGAAGTTGGTAGACTCGGGGCTCACAGACGTAACCTCCTACACCACCTGAAGGTTGACCTCTGGAAGCGTTTCATCTTGCTGGAGTCGTATGATGATATTCTTCATTTGAGAGAACTTGTTAGTAACCGTGGTTATTGGAGTAAATTGTTCGACTTTATACTTGAGTACAAGTCAATTTGACTTTTGGGACATATAATCTTACAAAGGATCACGTTTAGGTTCTAAATTATTTTACGATTGTTGACATTTGTAAGATTGACATGTTTGATAATAATAAGTATAATTTTACAACCGTCTCAGTTGAAATTTATTTTTAATGAAGTGGGTAAATAATATTCTTTACCAAAACATTCTTCTAACGACCAGGTTTGATTCTGTTGAACATGCAAACAGCTAACAAAACGCAAAATGCTATCAAAGATGATGCGGAGCAGTCACTTCTCATATTGTGGAACTTTATGGTTCTTCTGTTGTCGCTTATAGGAGACAGTATAATTTTGATAGCAACTATAAAATATAAAGCTATCAAACTCCATAAAGTGATAGTAACGGTGATGCAGCACATGGCTGTTTGTGACTTGATACAATCTGTATTCAGAGTAATCCCTGTCACTCTAGCTTTAATATCAGAGAGGTGGGTTGTAGGAGAGCTCCTCTGCCATGTGGAGGTAATTGTCAACTGGACATGCACCCCAGTGACATTGTTCCTGACATGTGCTATAACCACTCTGAAGCGGATAACAGTGAAGTATCCTCTGAAAACTAGAACCTGGTCCACACTGTTAGGACATAAAATCAGTTCTGCGTTGTGGCTTTTATCACTTGGTTGGGGCACTCCATTATTGAACTTTTTAAAGTCTTTAAATATCGAACACCAATTGCACTATTTGAACTTTTCTGTTTGTCTAAAAGACCCGGCAAAGAAACTCTTCTTATAACAACCATGCCCTCAAACAGTTTCGTTTACAAATCTAGTTGCCTTTGGAATTCATTCCGTCAGATGTTGGCACTGAACGACCTTGAAATCACTCATGGTGTATTCAAATCAAAGGTAAAAAAAGTCATTCTCTCGTCTCAGGGTAAAGTTGACAAGAATACCTGGGCCCCTTTGGCAAACTTTCTGAACTCAGGCAGCTTGAACGACTAAATTTGAAAAAATAAAACTTCTTGTCTGAATGAACTATTAGAACCTCAAGAAGCTGATCCGCATGTCTCCGCTACTAAAATGTTTAATGAGCCCAATCACTCATCACTTAACAGTTTAATCTTCAAAGTGAGTTGTACAATCTAGGTTGCTTTAAGTAGCTGTTGATAGTGTAAAACAGGAGTGACTTGATCGTTTTCATAACTTCGATTTACAATTTGTACCATAATAAAACTAGCACTGCCATGGGGTTCAAAAAGGGTCATTGTAAGCCTCCAGCGTGATGGTCCTAAGTCTCTGCCCCATGCAGTGCCTGTCAGCATCAGCTAGCAGAATAGCCCTAACATAACGATCAAGCCACAAATTAGGTTCTATAATGATTTAATATTGTTGAATAAAGAGATTTGAATATAATATTTGTTTTATTCTGAATATTTGTTTTATTCTGATTATTAGTAGGGAAGTTGCTTTATACAAGATACACAATCCACTTCAGTTACATAGACTATAGTTGTAACTATTTTACAAACTCATCCAGTTTCCCATTATGGTATACATGGTACTTTCATATCAGTTTGACTGCAATAGGTATCCTCTCCTACATGACACTCATAGTTACATCAGTCCTTCTCTTGATCGTGGCTAGTAAAGCTGCCTCCCGACATGGAGAAACACTGAGATGGGAGGGTGTCATCACAATACTGCTCACTGTTGGTGTATTCTTGCTATCTTACTTGCCATATAGTGTGTTGACATTGATACTGCTCTGTAGAGTTCAAATCAGCAACACCTTAATTCGAGTAATAATTCATCTCGTTAACCTAAATTTGATGGGTAATTTCTTCGTGTACTCGCTAACGTTGCAAAGTTTTAGACGTTTCCTAAAAATGAAGATATCTGAATTCATTTCCTTGATGAGGCTAACCAGGCAAGAACACCGGCAACTACATCAAAGACCTCAACCCCATCTGCATCAGAGACTAACACCTCAACCCCATCAAAGACCACTGGCCCTTCAACGACAGAGATCAAATCCAAGACAAAGACCAGATCCAAGGCATGATCTTCAAGAAGTGCAAGGTGATGATGCCCTGAATTTTGCTTCCCAGATCTTGAGGATATAATGGCTGTTTAACGAGAGTTTTAAAACTCTACGTGGTTACAGAGGCAAGAGGATAGACAACAAGACACAAGTATGGGACCCCTTTATTTGAAGTCTCCTACAACCTCATCCTTGCCCTATTATGGAGTAGATGTGTTAAAAAATTGGACCCTAAAGTCGTTAAAATGTAAAAGTGTGTATGTATTTGTTTAAATTTTCCCCAATTGACAACAATCAAGAGACCCCTCTATCAGAAGTCTCATACAACCTCATCCCTGTCCATATGATGGAGTAAACCATGTTTTTGTACCCATGTATTGTGCTCTGCCAATAGCATCACTTGATTTGACTTTGCTCAGGCAATTGCATTACTTAATTTGTTGAATGTATATATTGTTTGAATGACCTTTACCCGATATAAGGATAAAATACTCCCATGTAGTCGAGTCTACGTAATAAGCGCCATGACGCAGGGGTGCCATAGTGCAAAGAAACTGCTGCTAACTGCTGCTGACTGCTGCTAACTGCTGCTGACTGCTGCTAACTGCTGCTGACTGCTGCTAACTGCTGCTGACTGCTGCTAACTGCTGCTGACTGCTGCTAACTGCTGCTGTCACACGCGCGCCATTAGCAGTTAGCAGCAGTAAAGACAGGCATAAAACTGCTGCTGACTGCTACTAACTGCTGCTGACTGCTGCTAACTGCTGTTAACTGCTGCTGACTGCTGCTAACTGCTGGCACCCGTGTGATGAGTTGGAAAAGAATTTTTTGTCTCCGATTTTGATAAATTCGGTACCAAAAGTTGCCTCTAAGTGTGAATGGTACAAATTCACCGTATAGCACGACAAGATCTTGATTAGCGATGTCAAACCTTCGAGATCGTTACTCTACAAAGCGATCTACAAAGCGATCTACAAAGCGATCTACAAAGCGATCTACAATGTGAAGCAAAAATGATAGTTCGCACGGCACGTCGAAGCAGTGAAATCCTCCAAAATAAGATCGAGCTGTATGTGGGCCTCCTGTACATTGCAAGTGTGTAAGAAGGACGGAAATGGATAATTTCTCGCATAAAATGCCTAAAACTTCTAGAATATGTTTTGAAATAATTTTACACCATCGTAATACAAAACCTTTCAAACTATATACTTTAGCAGCCGGATTATAATATAGGGGGGACCAATGGCATAAAATGGGGTTAATTGACGATGTCAATTCATGGCAGCTCGGCGCGGCACCGTAGCGCATCTCGCCGATCAGAAGCCTCATTGAGTGCGCGGCGCGGCACAGTAACGCATCGCGCTACAAAAAATGGGGGATTTCAAAAATTTTAAAAACAAAAAAAACATTTGTTTTTCAAATATCTTAAATTTGGTACTAATAGGTAGTTCGCCATCGACAGTGAGCCGCGCGTGCCGACTGTAGGATGGTTTTTTAGCGCTAATTTCGGCCAGCACAATTTTCTTCAAACAAATAGATATTTAGTATCCTTCCCGACCTCCAATTGCAACAAAAATTAGTAAGCTTACTCATAGACTTACAAGGAAAGTGTCCGAAAAGTTTAAAGCATATCCAACCATCAAACATTATGTTACAGCTAAAAGCAGCGTATTTTGCTCCATTTTTATTACTATATCAACTCCGATATCCACCAAATTTTTCGGACAGTTGTGAAAGCCCTATTGGAAGGTCGTCACCAGTTTTCAGAATGATCTCATTCAAGGAACTGAAGATATATCCAAATAATACGACAAAAATCAACGAATTTGGTCAAAT